AATCAGTAATTTTTAAAAATATTTTTAATTTTAAATATTTCATGAATTTAAAGGTTCAAAACTTGTTAATCACAACAATAGTTATAAAAATTTGAATAGTTTGAATATTTAAATATTCCATTTTCACTGTAGATTTCAATTTAATTTTAAAAAAATATAAGTAAAATTAAGATGAAATGTGGATTAAAAATTAAATTGTAAATCAAAATAATATACGATCAAAACAAATATGAACAAGTCAATCCGAAAGTTTATTATTAAAAGTTAAAGACAAAAAAATGCAAATAAAAATAAAATTACCTAGTTAATTTTAAGTCAAATTTTTCAGGTCAATAATAAGTTCCTAAAGTTCTAAATATTTAAATGAAATGATTTAAATGATTTTAACTAAATATTTAAATGAACGAAATTGAAATTTATTTATTTCTTCATCAAATTAAAATTTGATTTCAATAATTTCGTATCGAGTATAAAAAACAATAAATTCTAAAGTTTCTGAATGTTAAATTACAGTTTGTAATTTTTTTGCAATCAGTAATTTTTCACGAAAAAAAAAATTTTAATGGGAACAGCGATAAATTTCTTTAAAATAGCGATAGTATTAATTGAAACAACTAAAAATTTTGTTAATGTAGTAGAATTTTCAGCTGTTCAAAATGAAAATTTTTTTCCGTGTTGAAAATATTTATAATGAAAATAATTTAGATCACTTGAACTTTAAAAATCTTCACTTTGACTTTGACTTTCATTTTTAATCTGACTTTGACTTAAAATTTAGTTTTTCAATTTTGAAAAATTTCCAAATAATTAAAATTTAATAAAATCTTTTAAAAATAAACAATTCTAATAATTAGTTTTTAAAAATATTTTAATGTAATTTTTCGAAAATAATTAAATTTCTTAAAAGAATTTTTGAATAATTTAAAAAAACTAATTAATTTTTTGATGAATTTTAATTAAAAATTTTGAACATGATTGTTTTCTTTAAAATGTTAAAAATAATTCTAAAATGTTATTATTTTTGTAGGTATGTATGTATTCGAATTTTTCGAAATATGTAATTAAAAATACTGAAAATATTGAATTTTTAACAATTAGAAGCTAATTTTCATTAATTTTCATTTTTAAATTTACCTTTAAAGATTTTTCATTAAAATTTTTGGTAATTCAATTATTTTCAAAATTTGCAATTAAAATTCTGCGAAAGTTGATTTTCAAACATTGTAACAAAATACTTGAAATAAATTAATTATTTTCAATTAAATTTTACTAAATTTCAAATATTTAAAAAGATTTCTATTATAGATATATTTGAAAAATTTAATTATGTTAAAAAATGATTCGAAAACAATTTTTGAAAAATTTGTTTACACTTATTTATCGCATTATAAAAATCAAAATAAGTTGCACTTCTTTACTAAAAATTGTTGTATTTTGTTGTAATGTTTAGAAGAAAAGTCGAAAAAGCCGCAATTTTTGAAAATAAGTCGAAAAAAGTTTAAATTTTCTTAATTTCCCTGATAACAATTTTTTTCCTGACATTTCTCTGGCTTTACTGACAAAGAAGACGTGTTTTCTAGTTTTGTACCAAATTTCAATTCTCTAGGTCAAAAAGACCGTAAACTAGAAAGAGGAAAGGAAAATAAAAAAAAACCAAGAGTAAAAAACATCCAAAAAATAATTTTCTATTCCGAAAAGCGAAAAATACAAATTTTTCGTGTTCCTTCTCGGAATTTTCTTTCTCTCATCGCCACTCTCAATTTCCGACCTACGACAAACCTACAATAACTGTCCAATTTTTTTTTCAAGTTCCTTTTTAAAATGACGTCTTTCTCTACTCTTTCTACATTTCTCTCAATAACAAAGGCGGGGTGTTGACAAAGTTGAGAACCTATTTTTTTTTCTTTTTCTTTTTCCCGAAAAATATTGAGAAGTTGGTCAGCATGTCATATGGTCAATAGCCACTGGCCGTGTGGGTGGATCAATGTGCAGATGCCATGGACCCCTAGATGAGCAACCCTTCCGTAATGGAGTTCAATGAAGGGGGCTGCGTGCCTAGATTATTCTCCGACAATGTCAGTAGAATTTAGAAATGCATTATGCATCTTGATGCGAAAGGGGTCAGGAGGAGGAGGAGGACGCGTGGTCCAGCTTATAACGGTGAAATGAAAGGACAAGGGAAGAGAGAGAGAGAGAGAGGAAGGGGGTTGAACTTGAAATGTGTGTCAAAAGGCCGCAATTTGCGGTGCCACCTTTCAACGAAAACCGTGACGTTTTTCAATCCCCCAATGCCCTAAAATCCCAAATTCCCAAAGCGATATTATAATATACATATCACTTGCTCGATGGAAAGAAAAACTTCTGCGGAAATTCGAAACGCCATGTTATATACTTATAGAGATTTTTTTTTTTTTTTTTGAAAAAATTCATCACATTGAGTCACGCTAAATACATTTCAATTTTTTCCGAAATATTTCTGATATTCAAAACAGATATTTTTCAAAGAAGGGAAACAAAAAACAGAAATGCGTTAACAATTCTTCAAGGTTGCCAAAAGTTTAATTTTGTTTTTCCTCAACTTTTTTCTGATTTTGAGACAAAATATTAAATTTTCCCTGATTTGTAAAAAATAACAAAAAATTTCTTGGCAATTCTAAAATAAATATAAATTTTTAGAAGCAAAAACTGTGGCTAATTTTTCTCGATAGTTTTAAAAAACAATTCAATAAAATTATTTAAAAAATTTCAATACTTTTAGAACTCTCTAAATAAATTAGTAAAAATGTTTATCAACTTGAATTAGTGACTGACTTTTTGCTTTTGAATTAGTAAATGTTACTAATAAATTAGAAAAAATGACAATTTATTAGTAAAATTTACTAATTTAAAAGTATAATAATAAATAATAAATAATAATTATAATTAATAAATTTTCCTTTTTCCATGGTCAATTTTACTAAGAAGTGGAAATTATTATTTATTAGTAAAATTTACTAACTGAAAAGCAAAAAGTCAGTCACTAATTCAAATTAGTAAACATTTTTACTAATTCACATTTAGAGAGTAGAATTTTAGGAAATTTTAATCATTTGAAAATATTTTTAATATCAATCATTTTATTATATTTAAAAAATTTTTTTTTAATTACATAATTTGTAAAATTAACTAATTAATAAAAATTTTAATTTGTAACTCTTTCGAAATTAAATTATTTTAGATGCAATATCGATCATTTAATACTGGTTTTTAAACTAATATTCTTTTAAAAAATTTATTTATTTTTAATAGAATTTTAGAAAATTTCAATTATATAAAAAAATTAATTTTTTAAAAAAATTTTAATTATATAAAAAAATAACAATGACTGGTTCTTAAAAATTCAATTATATCTTTGAAAAATAAAATTGACCTTTTTTCAAAATATAATTTTTTAGAATTTTAAATAAAACTTTCTAAAAATTCAGTTTTGAATTAAATTTCAAATTTAAATCTTTTTAAAATTAATTAATTTTAATAACATTTATAGAAATTCAATTATTTTATAAAAAATTGAATTGAAATATTTTTAAAATCTAATTTTTCAGAATTTTAAAGAAAACTTTTCTAAACTTCAATTGTCTGAAAAAAATTTAAGTTTATAAATATTTTTAATGTTTTGTGATTTCTTTGAAATTAACAAATTAATAAAAATTTTAATTGTAACTCTTTCGAAATTAAATAATTTAAAATATAATTTGGACTCTTTAATGCTTCTTGTTATACTAAAATTCTTCTAAAAAATTCAATTATTTTTAATAGAATTTTAGGAAATTCCATTTATTTAAAAAAATTCAATAATTTTTTATAGAATTTTAGGAAATTTCAATTATTTCAAACAATTCCAATTATTTTTCTATAAAAATTCAATAATCTTTAAAAAATAGAATTGAAATATATGTTAAAAATATAATTTTTCAGGATTTTAAGTAAAACTTTAAATTGCTAATAAAATTTCAAATTTAAATCTTATTAAAATTAATTAAATAATGAAAATTATTTAAATTTCCATGTGGATCCTTTAAAGCTTCTGTTTATACTAACAAACATATGAATACATTCAATGGTGACTCTATAATATTTGACTTTTTTTAAATTTCTAATGAAATTCTTTAACAAATTAAATTATTTTTAATTCAATTTCACAAAATTCAATTAATTTTACCTATAATTTTAATAAACAGTTTTTGAAAATTCAAGTAACTTTAAAAAAATTCAACTAAAATTTCTAAGAAACCTATTATTTTTAGAATTGTTATTAATTTCTTCAAAACATTTGAAATTTCCAAAAAAATTTAGTTTGAAACTTTCTGAAATTAAATTAATTCTGAAAATTGTAAAATGTTTTCAACCAAAATATTTTTTAAGTTAATTATATAAACTATTAACTTGAAAAAAGTTATTCTAAAGTTTAATAATTTACTGAAATAAAAAATAAGATATCGTTTTAAAAGTTTTCATTGTGATTTAAAAGTTTTTGATGGGGAAAAAATTCAAGGAGTATTCAAAGTTTTAAAGTTTGTCATAAGTGTTTTTAAACAAGAAAAAAAGAAAATTTAGGATGTTTTTAAAGTTAGCGTCAAATATGTTCAAAAAACTAATATTTGGGATTTTTAGAGACAAAAATGTCACTAATTTTTATTTTTCATTTATCTATAGGGATTTAAAAAATAGTTAATAGCACTTTTCTAAACCGGAAACCTTTTTTTTTTATAAAATTTCCTGACATTCCTCTGATTTAAATTTCAACTAATTTTGGATCAACTTACCAAAAATTAAGCAATTTCATTCACTAATAAAATGATAAAATAATAATTTTCCCTGACTTTTTCCTTGATCTATATGGCAACCGTTTTATTTGACGAAAAAAAGTGTAAAAAGCTTCATTCTCTTTATTCATCATCTCTCTTTAGGTGAACTAAACGAGAAATAAATTTTAATTTAAATATAGAAAAACACGAAAATTCGAAGTAACACTATTTAATTAACAAAATTATTTCCAAACACAATTCATGATAATCTATTGAGTCTTTTTCACCACATGAGGAAGATCAAATTTGCCCCTGACGCACTTTATCCTTACTCCAGGCACATCTTTCACCCTCCCACATCTCACCAGAACAACGTTATGCTCCTGTAAATTATGCCCAATCCCTGCAAAGTTGAAAATCACCAATTATTTTCAAATTTTCAAATCCTATATAGAAAAAAATTAATCCACTCTTGTTTTTCTCCTTCTTCTTTACCTGGTACGTAAGCAGTCACTTCCCTTCCATTTGAAAGTCGAACAAGAACACATTTTCTATTCGCCGAATTAGGTTTTCTTGGTTTTTTAATAAGTGTCTTTAGAACGACTCCCTTTAAAAATGGATTCCCATCCAAAGGCCTTGGCCTCTGACGCTTTTTAATTATAGGCCCTCTTTTATGCATTTGCCAAAGTGAACTTCCATATCTGCTAAACTGAAGGCCCGCTAATCCTAATAAAGTTGAAAATTAACCTCACACATCATCTCAACATTTCAACAGATATTAATTGATTTTCAAAAATATTTAAAGCTTCTAATATTAAATCAATTATTTAACAGCTTAATAGTGTTACAAAATTATTACATGCACTGAAATAATGCTACAAACTTGCGTCACTATTTTTTTACTGCATAATTAAACATGCCCTCAAGAAATCTTTAAATATTTAAGCAAATCATTAACATTGTCTTAATGTTATTTCATTAGATTGTCTCCAAAAATATTCCATAAAAAATTTATCCAATTCAAATTTTCGGATCAATTTACCAAAAGTTAAACAAATTCAACCACTAAAATATATTCAAATTAAAACTCAACTGAAAAAAACACAAACTTTTATGGCCAACAAAAAAATTTTCTCTCTACCTAAAAGATAAAATCATATAACTAAAACGAATTTTACCAACAAAAAAGTGAAAAATCAATAGAAAACCTGTTCTTTGAACTTTAAAAAAAAAAACTGATGAGGGTAATCGATCAAAATCCATAAGGGAAATCTTTTAATTTCAATTGTCAAGCATCTCAAGAATTGCGCGAGGGAGACAAAAAGAAAAGTAAAGAAAAGAATTAACGTTGGATGGATGGAGAAAAAAGAAAATCGAAGCAACTTTTCAAAAACGGTATATATACTGAGAATTATGTTAAGATGCGAGAGAGCTTGAAAACTCTTTCGCAAATAATAATAATCTTTTTTGGGGACACACAACAAGAAAAAGGGAGGACCCAGAACACCCTGGCGAAAAAAGGCGAAATATCAAATATGACAGACGCTTGACATCTGCGAGCCCTCTCTCTCTCTCTTTCTCACACACACACACAAACCGAGATTTTTGAAACCTTTCTCGATGGTGCGTGCATAAGCTTATTAAGTAACAATGTTACGAAGCAAGGTCCATCCCCAAAAGCGATGGTCACCATCGAGATTTTCAAGATCCCAAAAGTGGACAACTCTTTTGTCAATTGATATTTCCTCAAGAAAAAAAAAGAAGATCGAGAAGAAAAAGTGGGCGGAGTAAGCCTCTTTTTCCATTTGCATGAAAATTCTTTCGCAATCATAAGCATTATTCTCTTTTCTGTAACAGGGAAAAAGGAAAAGCATTCTTGAGGTTTAGGAAAAAAAAATTTTTTTCTTTTTTCAATTTTTTGAAATATTATATGGGTCAACAAATTTTTTCGGAAAAAATTCTCTTTTACTTCCCCGCAATGAAAAGCAGAAACGGAAATTGCTTTTTAAATTTCATTTAATAATTTCGATTATATGGTCAGTTTTCCCTTCTCCAAACTGAGAAAACAGTGGAAACTGTTTTTTATGTTACTAAAGTTCTGAACGTTTAAATCAACAGGGCTCGAACCAGTGAAAGTATTTAAAAATACGGACTTTATGGACCAATTACTGACGAAAATATAAACAGTCCGAGTCAAATAAAAGAACATTTTACTTCAAACTATAAATTAAATTTTTCATAACTATGAAACATGAAGCTATCGATAAATCCGAGTCTTCGACTCGTGAGTGATCCCTTTCTTCATGTTTTATAATATTTAAAGATGACCGAGTGATAAAATCATTATCAATTCAATTCTTATTTTCAAAAATTTTTAACTAAAATTCTTCTTTAAATCGATTACTTTTAATAATTTTCGAAAAAGTTCTTTGACAATTTTCAAATCAATTTGTTAATAAAATTGAATTTTACCAAATTTCAATTATTCGAAAATTCTTCAATTAAATATACATTAGAAAATAAAAATTTTAAATAATATAAAAAAAATTCAGTTGAACTTTTTCAAAAAAATTAATTTCACAATTCAATTATTTCTAAAAAATTCACGCTATATTGCTTTTAATATTCAATTATTATCCAAAATTATAACTGAAATTCATGTTTAAACATATTTTTATTAGAAAAATTCTACTAGAATTCAATTATTTAAATACAAAAATAAATAATTTATTAAATGTTTGTTAAAATTTAATTTCCATAAAGAATTTTATCAACAAATTTTTAAATAATTAAATTCTTTCGACGAATTTTAATAAAATTTTTAAGAAAAATTACACTTTTTGAGGAATTTGATTAAAATTTTATGAAAAATAATTGAAACTCTGTGATGACTTTATTTATTTATGAAAATAATTAAATGTCGGTAAAAATTTTTTTTTATTTTTAAAAATAATGGAATCCTGGTAAAAATTTTTATTATTTATAAAAATAATTGAATTATTGCGAAGAAATCTATCAAAAAATTGTAAATAATTGAATTGTTAGTTAAAAATATGAAATATTAAGATTTTTAAAGATTTTAATTTAAAACCTGTTCAAAATTCAATTTTCTCTAAAAATTTAATATTCAATTATTATTTAAAATTTTAACTGAAATTCATTTTTAAATAAATTTTTATTAGAAAATTCTACTAGAATTTAATTCTTTAAATTCAAAAATAAACAATTTATTGAATAATTAAATATTTCTTAAAATTCAATTCTCATAAAAAATTTTATCAACAAATTTTTTTAAATAATTGAATTCTTTCGACGAATTTTAAAAAAATTTCTATGAATAATTACATATTTTTCTAGAAATTCGATTAAAATTGTATTAAAAATAATTGAAATTCTCTAATGAGTTTTATTATTTGTGTGATAACAATTGAATCCCTAAGAAGAATTTTATTATTTTTGAACAATATTTAATTTTTATGAAGAATATTGTTACTCTTGAAAATAATTGAATTTCTGCAATAATTTGTAACTTTTTCAAAATTAAATTTTTTTTGTGTTTAAACTAAAATTCTTCTATAAATGCATTATTTTTAATAATTTTTGCACAATTTTCTTGAGTATTTTCAAATTCATTTTTTTACAATTCAATTTTACAAAATTTCAATTATGCGTAAATTCTTCAATTAAATAAATATTAGAAAATAAAAACTTCAAATAATACAAAACAAAATTCGCAATTAAACTTTCTCAAAAAAATTAATTCCACAGAATTGTTAGTTAAAAACATGAAAAATTCAGATTTTCAAAGATTTTAATTTGAAACCTTTTCGAAATTCAATTTTTCCTAAAAATTGACGCTCTAATACTTTTAATATTTAATTATAATCTAAAATTTTAGCTGAAATCCATTTTAAAATCACTTTTTATTAGAAAATTCTACTAGAAATCAATTATTTAAATACAAAAATAAGTAATTTATTGAATGTTTGTTAAAATTCAATTTCCATAAAGAATTTTATCAATAAATTTTTAAATATAATTGAATTCTCTTGACGAATTTTAATAAGTTTTTTAAGAATTATTAAATTTATCGAGGAAATCGATTAAAATTATATTAAAAATAATTGAAATGCTGCGATGACTTTATTATTTATGAAAATAATTGAATTTCTAAAAAGAATTTTATTATTTATGAATATAATTGAATCCCTGAAAAGAAATGTAATTTAAGAAAATAATTGAATTCATGCGAAGAATTTTATTAAACTTTTTTAAATAATTGAATTCCAGTGAAAAATTTTATTATTTGTCAAAAATAATTAAATTCTTAAACAATTTTATTACTTTTAAAAAGAATTGAATTCTTGTTGTTATTTAGGAAAATAGTTGAATTTTATAAAAAATATTAATAAATATCCTGAAAATAATTGAATTTCTGGGAAGAATTGTTATATTTATCAAGATAATTAAAATCTTTCGACGAATTTTATTAAAATTATTAAGAATAATTACATTTTTCGAGGAATTCGATTACAAATGTATTAAAAATAATTGAAATTCTGCAATGAATTTTATAATTTATGAAAATAATTGAATTCCTGCAAAGAATTTTAATATTTACGAAAATAATTGAATCCGTGTAAAAATTTTATTATTTATGAAAATAATTAAATGATTGCGAAAAAATTTATAAAAAAATATGTAAATAATTAAAGTCTTGTGAAATTTTTATTATTTCATGAAAATAATTAAATGCTTGCGTAGAATTTTATTAAATTTTTTGAAAATAATTGAATTCTTTTGGAAAATGTTATTTAAATAGTAGATATTGAAAATCATTGAATAGAGGAAAATTTTTGAAAATAAATGAAATTTTGCCAAGAATTTTATTAAAATTTTTGAAAATAATTGAATTTCGGAGAAGAATTTAATTATTTCTAAATAATGGAAATTTTGGCGAGAATTTTTAGAAATTTTTGAAAATAATTGAAATTTTGACGAGAATTTTAAAAATTTTTTGAACGTAATTGAATTTTGGAGAAGAATTTAATAATTTCTAAAGATAATTGAAATTTTGACGAAAATTTTTAAAAATTGTTGAAAATAATTGAATTTCTGCGTATAATTTTATTACTTTTGAAAATAATTGAATTTCTGCAATTATTTGTAATTTCTCTAAAATTCTCCAAATTATATATTGCAATTTACGAACTTTTCGTCTTTCTTTTCTCCTTTCACTTTCAATGTTAAAGTGAAAATGAAAGCTAAAGTCAATGTCATTGTCAAAAATCAAGGCAAAGTGAGAGACAAAGTCAATAAAAAAAAGTCTCCAAGTTAATTAAATTAATTTAATTAAATTAAATTAAGAAGTTATCGACTAAGTTACCGCCAAGAAGTTATTCTAAGCTTGATTCAAAGAAAATATTCTTGATTCAAAGAAACGATTTTCTCAGAGTGCGATACAGGAAAACAAATAATAATTTGAAAATTCAAAAATCTCAAAATACAATACTCATTTCTATTTTCAAACAAATTCCGAAAATATAAGAGAAAAAGGATTTTTTTGAGGGTACATCTCCATTTTTGAAAAAGTCGGAAATATTATAGACATGTCAAAAGAGAAAGAAAATCTTTTCCTAGGAAATGATGACTAAACATTACGAGAGACTTTCGCGCGATATTATAATAATAATGTCAGTGTGTATAGAAAAACTTTCCATTGACAT